TGCGTCGAGTTTATCACATCTTTGATGGTTGTCGGCTTTTTGACTTGGGATCCAACTCATCATGACAACTTAGTAAGGGCTCCTCTTTCCGACCCTAATATGTTACGGCCTACCCCTAACCGGCCATTTTAAAAACACAGATTAGGATTCCAAAACTGAGCTTGAATACTTACCCTAAATAACACTGATATTGTGCAATCCTGACTGTGTACATCCAAGTTTCGTCTCTGAACATCCTTATTTTTCTAGATACCAAATTTTCTGTCGCACTTTTTTTTTGACATAAAAAATAATTTACTACACTTTTAAGAATACCCTTATTTTACTTGTTATGAATTGATTTTTCTTTGCACACCCATTTTTCATTTTCTTTGAACACCCATTTTCCTTGTATTAATTATATTGGCTCTCTTCCATTTGGCAATTTTCGTTAATGGAATAGTTCATTGTTCCACATGTGACTGCATGATTCTTTTATTTCATGAAGCAAAATTAACACTGTAATCAGAAGCAATATGAAGAACAATGAGGAGACCGAGCACTAGAGTGTCATTAAAAAAAAAAAAAAAAACTGGAGCTTCTAAAAGCTATCACAATAAGTTGGGAAATAATAGATACTCAAAATCAAATTTCAACTAAGAGAAGTCTAGATAAGCCTGGTAAATTGAATATCGCAAAGTTCATTAGTCGCTTTGTTACCATGTTGTTTCTTTTAAAACAATGTACTGAAATGAGGCATCATCGCGGATCAAGCATTGACATTGAACACCATCTATAATTTAATATTTGGAACGCTTGACTGAGGATATGTTTACCGCGTGGTTTGCGGATTGTCATTTTGATAAGACAATTTTCCCACCGTTAGGGGGAGAAAATAACATCGTTTCAGAAGAACGATGAGAAAATATCATTCCAGAAGAATGATGAGAAAAGATCATTCCAGAAGAACGAATAGAATTTGTCTTATTTTGATTCACGAAGCGATCAATGAAAAAATGAAGTAAGAATAATTGAATGATACCACGAAAGTGATGAAATCACATATACTTGCTGCAAATGTGCCTACAAGAATTAATGTCCCTGTTGGACAATATAGTGAGGCAGCAAATGATTTATCTGTTGCACACCTGAAGCGTGGCAGACCCTCAGACTCAAAAGGTTCAGTCATTCGAAAGAAGAAGAATATGGCACTACCGAAGCACAATTATTGCATGCCAGAAGCATGACAGTCACCTCATGGATACACGTCCCAGAAATGACAATTCGCAGACATGGAAATTTTGATGTCTTTCCAATGACTCAACTCCCGGAAGTTGAGATTACAATCCAAGCTCTATAACGCTCAAGAAGAGGTTATGATCAGCATTCTCTAAATTATGACTATCCTAGAAGAGATAGTGTAATGCCCTTGAAGAGGCAATGGATATTCAAAGAAATGAAGAAAAAAAAAAATTATGCATGCGCATGTACTTGAGAATATGGGATCACAGATTGATGATAACCAATGGTAATTTTGGTTTTTACAAATAGCTACTAAATTCATCAATGAGCTCTGTTGATATTGAGTCCCGTTCTTTTTCTGTCAACAAAATTATTGGCAAAAATGGAGAAAGGTAATTCCATTATAATTTTGTAAGAATGTGGAAAAATAGACCTATATACTTGAATATAATACAAATAGCCAAAAGATGTTGAACCAAGGAGGTTACATTGGGCATTTGTAATGCAGTGAAATACACTCACATGATATGACACAAGGTTGTAAACGAGTTCATATGAATGAAGAATTATATACGAAGGGTTATGAGTCGCACACATCATATCTCCATAAGTAAATCCCTCAAATATACATGGAAGAAAGTTACTCTGTATAAATTCCAAAGGAAAATGTGTCATGAAGTGCAGAAAATCCTTGAAGGATTCATATTGCTTGAAGAAAGCCCTGAAAAGGTAAAGCATAAAATATGTACTCAATACCAATGGATGGTATGGACTTCTGAAGAGTCAAGAAAGATTATAAAGTGTTGAGAGAAATATTGTCTCGAACTGCAGATCGAACAATATGCCAACACGAATCTTATCCATGATGTTTATGATATTAAAGAATCATATGGATTGAAGATTATGAGTTGAATACTCAAATGATTTAGACACTAAGAATGATCATTTATCTTCGTGAGGGTAAAGATAAATTGATATTTGGTCCTCAAATGATTTAGACACTAAGAATGATCATTTATCTTCGTGAGGGTAAAGATAAATTGATATTTGGTCCAGAAGTACCACATCTTAGTGAAGTATATGCTTTATTGTATTTAGCACAATACATTGAATGAAATAAAGCTTATATATTGATATCTCCGAGAAATTACAAACATGTACATACACATGAGTTAAAACAAACAAACAGGATGAAGCCTTCACAAAGGTTGCTCATGTGAAGCCTCAATACTCGGCAATAACCTAAAAGGGGGAGGCACTGGAGATTGATCATGTGGCACCCTAGTACTTGACAAAACACTAGAAGGGGAAGGCATCAGTTGCCTTCGGAATCTACCAACGAACCTCTGGTGTTCACTTTGAATCTGACTTTCGGATTCCTGTATCTAGTCGAGATCTCTTTTCATGCTCGTCGAGTAATTATTTGCAAGCACGCGTAACACTCTATTCTCGTGCTTGAGCCCTTTGATCTCTTGTTTAAGACTTGCCACCTCAACCATCAATGATTCAACTTGGTGAGTTCGAGCAAGTAAACATTGGCCCTTATTGGAAACAAAGCCGGCGAACACTGAGAGCCAAGAAGTCTTGAACGGCCGACTCATCAGACAGTTTTGAAAGGATTACGTTATCCCTTGGAGTGAGAACATTCCTAACTACCACAGTAGCAGTTATGTTATTCTTCATCACTCAGTCCCCAATTGTAAGAATACCATTAGAAGATAAGAAGGATGGGCGTCATATATTATCCTGACGCTACTTGTCTGTATCACTCATAAGACTCAAATCTAAGCAAATGTTAGATGGGCAAGCCATTTTCAGAAATGATGAAGGAAAAATGAGGTCAAATAAAATCTCAGAAGTGTAAGAAAGGGGAAAATTTCTATAGGCAACAACTTTCTGAGCATACTCTTGAACACAATTGATGTCTCTATAAAAGAAGAGGCAATAGAGCAACTTGTTCAGAGATCGAAGAGGCATCGTTATCCGAATTTCAAAAGCCAGATTTTCCTGAATAAAGTTTGTTGGCATTTTTCAGACACAATCTCAGCTTTTTCGGATATCGCGTGCAACTTTGTCAAAGATCTCTGACAAAGTTGAAAATGTGTAAATCTTACTATTCTAATTACATCACAGTTGCTGACAAGAGTAAAGACACAACACCACTACATGCTATTGAAAAATCTCTATATATGTCGACCTTCGTTCTCCATAACAAGGCAGACTTGTAAGAATACCTAACTCTTCCTCATCTTCGAGAATGCATCTTCAATAGAGCATCTCGAAATACTCAGTTTTCTTCATCTCCGAGAATACCTCTTCAAAACAAATCACACCAGACTAACATTATCTCATATCATCAGGGACGAGAGCAAGAGTGTCTCATATCATGCAATCTCTCTATCATTTCCTTTGTCCTTGTTCTTACCTGCAAAAACAAGGATATAGAAAGCAATATGTCGGAACCTCCACTCAAACTTCCGGTAAGGAATCGACTGCTTGGAACCTTTCCTGATTGCTTACCTAGAATTGCTCTCGAGTACTCATCTTCAATTGGTGGTGGAGCTGGGTCTTAAGTCATCAACACCGCAAAATAATTGGCCCGTTGATGGCTTTTTACACTGAAGCTGCCACGCATGGATGAGTCACTAAGAAGTGAAGGACATTTCAAATACAAGGTTTGCATTCCACTCCTGCATCAGTGAACAAATACTACAAGAGAAGATGCCACACATGCATGAGGGAAAACCAGGGAAAATACCACTTATGCAAGGGGAACAAGTAAGACAAGTAAAAATGATACATTGAAGCATGTGGAGACAAGCGTAACAAACATGTGCTGATTCATCCCCTGACAAAGCCGAAGATCACTTGCCACGTGAAGCTGCTCATGGTCCAATTTCATTCAAGATCAAGCCTCGAAGGTCCTTGAAGAAATCACAAGTCTGATTCAAGATCAAGTGTCCACCACCCTTGAATCAAATTCAGCTCCAGATAAAAGGAGTAAATTCAGACCTTTGGAGGAAATCAGAAGACCTTCCAGCCCAGTTCAAGAACGAGCCTGTGGAAAGTTAACAACAAGTAAAACGCCTCTTTCGGCAACTCTTTTCGCTAAGAGACTGAAGCAGAAGGATCAACGATCAGCCTAAATGATTTGAAATCAGGGGGAGATACTCATCAGGGGGAGCATCCAAAACAGATCAAGATTTTAACGAGTCAATCAAAGACTTGTGGCCATCCAAGGGGGAGTGTTGTGAATAATGTGGATGGCCCACATGAATAATTTGTTACTATTTATTTGTGGAAAATTTGTAAAGTTAATAGTGTTTTATTTGCTTATAAAATGGATGAGAAATGAAGAAGAGGTTCACGAAAGAGATTGTGAAAGAAGAAAGAGGAAGAGAGAAAAGAGAAGAAGAGGAAGAGAGAAAAGAAAGGAAAATGAGAAGAGATAATAGAGAGAGTTACTTTTGTACTCCTATTATTCTAATTTATAATGGAAGCACTACCGCTGTTCCGAGGACGTACTCCAGTCACACTGATTGTAGAGGAACCTCGTAAGTTTTCTGTCTTATTTTATTTATTCCATTGCACACAGTGTTGATTTTATAACAACACTTTTTTTATTAGTGTTCCTAAATAAAAAACCCCCTTCAAGGGCCAGCCAGGCCGAAATGGGTATTACCGTAAATTCCATAATTCCAGACGGCAGTCGATAGCGTTCCTTGAACTCCTCATAAACTTCGAAGGGCAGTGAAGGTGGAGTCCTCCGTCGAGAGAAAATGTCGGAAACAGACGGCATCTTCTCCCACGATCACCGATCAATGATTTTCAAGGTTCTCGTCGATTCCCTCAAGATTTTCCATAAAAACAAACAGACTTTTGTTTCCATTTTTGCCCTTACGACCCTCCCGCTTTCCCTCCTCCTCTTCTCCCTCTCCCTCTCCTCGCACCCCCTCAAATCCCACATCTACCACCTTGAATCCCTCGCACGCCTCGCCCCCACGCGATTCGAGGCCCGCCAGGTCTGGAAGGAGTCCCGCGATGACGCCATCTCACTCCTCCGCATCAAGGTCCTCTTCTTCTTCCCCTCCTACGCCCTCTCACTCCTCGCTTCCATCGCCGCCGTGACAGCCGCCTCGACATCCATCCATGGAAAACGCCCCACTCTCCGCTCATCCCTTAACGCCGTCAAGATCACTTGGAAAAGGCCGTTAGTCACGTCCATCTGTATCTACGCGCTGTCGATCGCGTCCGCGCTAGTGCCCCGCACTTTGTCTACTGTATTCAACTCGTCCTGGTCCAGATTGGTCATCATGGTTCTCGGGTCGGGTCTGGAAATATACCTGATGGGGATGATGGGCCTGGGGCTAGTGGCATCGATTTTGGAAGAGAGGTACGGGTGGGATGCGATTCGGGTCGGGTGGGAGTTGATGGCGGGTAAGAAGCTATGCGGGTGGGTGATGTCGGGCATGTTCGTGTTGTTTACGTGGGCGGTTGCGAGGAAGCTGGAGGAAGTGATGGATGGTGAGGATTTGATGGAGGGATCATCGACGGCGACGCTGACGAGGGTGGTGGTGGGCATTGAGGATAAATTGGGTTGGGTAATTTTGTACGGGTTAGTGGTGCTTTGGGGGTACGTTGTTACCACGGTTTTTTACTGCGACTGTAGGAAACGCCACGTAAGTGGAGGTGGTGAAAATGAGGACGGCCCTGACTGAATTCTCTGCTCTTCAGATCCAACTCCACAAGAGGTTTTTTTTTTTTTTTTTTTTTTTTTGAAATTTCTTTTTGGGAGATACATAGTTTGTTTGTCATTTTTAAATGTAATGGTATAGGATTGAAATAATGTTTTGATTTGGTTTGTTGATCAAGTTGAAGAAGCCGACAGGCAGACTATATTCTTTTGGGTTGAGATGTTTTGCATTTGAATCCAATTTATAGATCATCCTCACATCCACATGTATTGTTTTTCTTTTCCTAATGTGATTCAACAAGTAATGGGAAAACTATTTCAATAAATGTAAATACAAGATTGGATGATGGATGAGATTTGTCACCCACTCTCATTGTTTATTGAAAAGCTAGCCTTGGAATTGTATGGGTAATGCTACGAATACCAATATTTTAGATCAATTATGTAAACTATATGACGTGGTTGTTGATAATAATTTTTTTTTGAAATTAATTAATATATTAAGCCAGGGCCAAGCCATGAGGGGTAAAAAACCAGCAAGGGCAAACAAGCGGAGAAAACAATACAAAGTGAGAGAGGGAATACAAATGATGCGCCCAAACCCACTACAACAAAACACTAATTTGGGGAACAAGGAAATCCGTCTTTGTTTAAGATACCAACAAGCGAAGATGGGGGTCTTTCGACCTAGACATTATTGCACATCTTCATGCCCTGATGAGACATCACATAGTCCGTCGCAAAATTAGCTGATCTCGGAACTCAAGACCAATCCCAAGCATGAAAGGAGTTCCCCAAGGCATAAACGCGGAAAATGATGGGGAGCACCTCCCAGCCGCTATCATCAATCTTAGGCACGAGATAACCTTCAAGGAATTAGATTCAATGATAATATTTGAGAACCCTCGTTGCAAAGCCATTATGTTAACCAGTGTGGAGTATGAGGGGTCTACTGAGAGGACGACCGCGGGGTCCTGCTTACCATGGATCGAGAGGTGGGCCTCCTTAATCGAGCAGCCATGAAGGACACATCATACGCTTATTGCGGATCAAGAGGTTGTTGATAATAGATTATTACTTAAGTTTTGATAAACGTATTTATTGTCCATTGGTGACATATCATACGGTTTACAAATTTGACCTCAAAAGTTGGTCTATTGTAAATTTAGGCTATATGACAGTGGATCTTCTTAATAGCCTATGTAATTGTTTAGAGGTCAGCTTTTAGTTTCATAGATATGATCGAGGAGACTTAATAATTTTGTAGTGTGTTTTTTATATAGCCAATTTTGGATCCAACTGTTTTATCAAATTTTTATAAGGAAAAATTTGTAATTAATTTGTTGTCGGACTATGAATATGTTGATAATAATGCGCAATTTAACACTACAAATCTTTTATGCATGTACATATTTCCAAAGCATTTTAAACACCCGCAACACCGCGCATGAACTTTTGCTAATGCGTACCAAATAACCTTCAACATAATTACCATTAGTTTTAACACTAATGTCAAAAATTAATTTTAAGCATTACTAGTCCTTTTGAGCCGCCGGTACTATTCTTGCTTCATCATTGTACCCATAGAATAAAAACGTGGGTAAGGACAAACCGACCACTGCATCTACAGAGCACTTCCTGCAAAGTATGACATTTCCATGTATTTTGTTCCTACTCAAACTTACGCATGTCTTATCTAGTGCGAAAGTTGTTTTAATAGTAACAACATTATCAAAGTTTCTCTCTTACTAGAGGCGTTTTTCACTTTGTTTGATGTGTTTGTCAATGCCAAATGGTGTTAGAAATAAATGAGGTATGGAGTGTCCAATTTTGAATAAATATTAGATGACACATCAACAAGAACTTACACGAAATAGTAGTGGTGGTCCAAACCTAACCCTATCACGCATCCCCGCTTTTTAGAATTTTCTCGCACAACGTTGCATTATCGGTTTTGGACCCGCCATATGAAGTTTTTGTCGTACATAAGTCCCTGGAACAAGATTAGGACTGTAACTTGGTTTGAAAATTCCCTACCTAAAAATTTGCCAAGCCTATTCGAAATGATGATCCCAAACAAGTCTTAATGAAGAAATCTAATCTGTGTAATATTTTGATTCAAAAATGATATTCTTATTATCTAGTTGTATGATTTATATCATCTTTCTAATAAAGATGAGACCCACATATATTGATGGGTCTTATCTGTATTTGAAAGATAGTGGGTTCCATCTCTATTAAATAAATGACATAAATAATGATATAACTAGATGGTAAGTATAAGACTACTCCGTTTAATTATGATCAGGGTTTGGTTTGACCGCAGAAGCACATGCAATTCCTATGTTTTGATTCGTTCCCAAGTCCCAAGCCAATCCCACATGTCTCACCCAACCCAATGACTAGTTGGGTTCTCGGAAGCTGTCAAGCAGCTTAAGCTGACTAAAGAGAATGACGAAAGGATAAAGCAGTGCGTATCTTATTTTTAATGTTTTCCATATATATTGTGGGTTTGCCTTTTGGCTCCTAATTTATGTTTTGCCTTGTTGGCCTTGTTCCTTATAAATTTGAATTGTTTAGTTACATAAACGCAAAATAAAACATATACAAAGCGTAATTGCATCTGCAATAAAATTAAGGTTTTAAAAGACATTAGGTGCTAGTCGGGCGGCGAGTTGGGACCTAACGGCTAGACGGAGGTCTAAGCGGACTAAGCTAATTCAAATAAATTTATTATATGTTGTATAAATCTATTTATACAGAAAAAACACATAATTGTATTGTGATACATAAATTGCAAAAGAAAATGATATATAGATTATAAAATATTAGGACATATTGAAAACATGGGAAATAAGTAGATAATGAATGCTCATCCAAATATTCAATAAGCCTATTACATTTTATTGACAAAATAAAATTCAAAAATGAGAGCTATCGGATTTTCTATCTAAGTGAAAGTCACGACCTAGGTGAGTTTAGGCGGGTTAGGTGGACGCCTAAGCAGGTCTAGACGCATTTTCTTAATTTTCAAATGCTTAAAGACTAATCGGGACGGTGGCTAGTGACAATGCCTAGGTAGGGCCTAGCAGCGCTAGGCGAGGTCCTTTAGAACAACGAAAAACATTTCACCTCTCTCTCTCTCTCTCTCTCTCTATTCGTGGTTTCAAGAAATCGTGTTGAAATTTTGAAACAAAATCCTAATATCCTCGATTATAAATTTATCCCCCATAAAGTCGCACACCATCCCAAAATCAAATCATTAACTAGTTTGGAGTTGTCTTAAACAAGAACGTCCTTATAAATCTTTTGCAGTGCAAATTTTAAAGCATCTCTCAAAGCAAACTGCTTCCGAAATATGTCACCCACAAGACTACGACAGTAGGACTTCCTCTCTCATCACGAATGACAATACCACAAACCACAAACAACGTGTTGATTTAAGAGAGAACCATCAAAATTGATTTACAACTTGTTTCTTAGGGGTCCCTTTCACTTAATGATCCGTCTAGTTAGCCTACCAACAATGTCTCATAAGGTATGGCCCAATCACTTAGATAAGCCCGATTATTTGATAAGGTGCTAAAAGTAAAATGTGGTTAGTTTCAATGATATAAGTTTTTTTAATACATACTAAGGCGGGAAAGGGATCCTCTCCGGATCTCTTCCACCAAGACCATCAAATTAAGTGATCCGGACCTTTGAAATTTCATCCAACGGCCCACCTATTTTGATCCCTCAAAAGCTATAATAATTTTTGGGCGTTGGATGAAATTTCAAAGGTCCGGATCACTTGATCCGATAGCCTTGGTGGAAGAGATTCAAAGATGATCTGTTTCCACTAATGTGTGGAAGATTTTAACTAAGTCATACAATGGACTCATCATAATAATTTGATATTAAATTCGTTATCTACAGAAGTCGAGGCAAAAGAACAAGATATACAATGTCGTTTTCAAAAGTTGAAAGCATATTTATAGCTCTTAGCCGGTTTGAGTTGGCTTATGAACTTACAACTTGAATATATATACATATACATATATATACATATACATATATATACATATACATATATATACATATACATATATATACATATACATATATATATATATATATATATAGGAATCCCTTCCCAAGAGGGATCCCCATTTTTCAAAAAAAAAAAATGGGGATTCCCTCTTGACCTTTAAATTTGGCTTTAATGAAATTCTGTGGTTGAGATTCCGTGGTCTGTGATTTAATCTTAACCACAAAATTTCATTAAAGTCAAATCTAACGGTCAAGAGGGTATCCCCATTTTTTTGAAAAATGGGGATCCCTCTTGTGAAGGGGCCTGTATACACACACACACACACACACACACATGTGTGTGTGTGTGTATCAAATTGAACCAAACTGGTTAATTAGATCGCTTCACTGCTCTTGTCCAGTAGTTTGCTCTCCTATGATCCCCATTGTGGAGCAAAAAATAATTTCAAAAATCCTGAAGATGACACGTGGATTTTTTCTGAAGAAGATAAGAATGCTCTCATTAAATGAGTAGGTCCACAAAGAGTCACTAAACTCTGTAAAATTCTTTGACCAGTCCCTGGAGAAGGATACGAGAATGGAAAATTCTAAAACCAAGACGAATAGAACATCCCATGTACATATATACGGACCAATCAATGGAACAAGAACATATACGACCTCTACAAGCCACCACCGCAAGCTGCCATCACTTCCATTGCATGAACTGGAGCCACAGTAGCTGATGAAGCAGCCTAGCCCATGGTGTGAATGCCTAGGAAAAACTCCAGGGACAACAGCTACACTAGGCCATGGCATCAAGAGAAAGCTTGGCCTTCCAAAATCAAAACCAGACCATTCTCGTGCCACATGCTGCCCAATCAGGAGCCCAGATGTGGCGTCCAGGAGCAAATCCAAGAACGGGCCCAATCTCCAATCCATACAGGCTCAAGAGAGGATCCAGAAGGCCAACGTTCTAGGAAGTAACATGCGAGTAGCAGTGAGCCCAAGCCTCAATGTGCACGAGCACATTCCACCCTCACTGGTGCCACGTGTTTGAACCTGAGCTTGAGAGTGTTAGTAAATTGCTAATAAAGAGTGGACTAATGTTGAGAAGTATGATGTTACTATGGGGTTGAAATCTAAAACTTTCATTTGCTGGCTAAGACCTCCTAATGGGTGGGTTAAGTTGAATAATGACAACTGCAGGTTTGGGGAGAATGGAGTTATTGGTTTAGGTGGGGTTTGTTGGGGGACTTTTAGGTCAAGGTGTAGGCTTTGAGAACGTCATATTGTCTTCCTTGGTATGGATTCATAACAAGTCCCGAGATATCTCCAAAGAGTTAGTTTGTCTTAGGGAATACCCTGGTAACATTAACGACTCGAAGATAGCGTGAAAGATCAAGATAATTACTTGCTCAAGTGAAGCATGATGTGGAAACTAGAAGATTATCAATTTACATGAGAGAGAAGGGATTTGCATGGTTGCATAGCATTCTTTATTGGATAATTTGCCTTTCCTAGGGTGATAGTAAGGTTTCTAATGGCTAGGATATTTGATGCAAAGCTATGGAAATTACTAAGGTCACATAGATGGTGATGCTTGGGGCTTGGAGTATGCTTGTGGGCTAAATGGAGCTTTTTGGCCTTTTTCCTGGGTGGTTTTCTCTATCTCATTATCTCTGTGTTCCTCTAATCTTCTGTCCTCCTCTGATAGGAGCATATTTATGCGACTTTGTTATTTTATTTCTTTGCATTTACTTCGTTAATTTCCATTTATTTTGGTAGTTTATGTTATTTTTGTATTATTGTAGGTCCAGTTGGTAAAGATGACAATAAATAGTCAAATGGAGCAATTTGGAGCAATTTTGGACTTGGATTGGATAGCATGGGTGGATAGCATATGGGCTGAACGTTTTTGGTGTTTAAATGGTACTAGACATGTGCTAAAATCTGTAGAAATTAAAGTTGAGGCTTGGAAGGCAAGGAATTACACTAGAAAGAGGAATCCTAATTGGAGAGGAACATTACCTTATCTTATCTTATCTTATATTATCTTTTCTTATCCAACATTATCTTATCTTATCTCCAGCTGCAAGGAGGAATCCTAATCACATTCCAACACTTCTACCTGATTTTTAGAGTCCTAAAATAACTCAAAAACACCAAAACCCTTTCCTCCTTGGATTCAGCCATTTTCCCCTATATATATGAAATTCCTGCAGAGATTTAAGAGTGTGCCATGCCTACCATTCATCCATTGAAGTTGCCGGAATTTTCGGAGTTCATTCTATCTTTGTTTTAAGTTCAATGTTTATTTTAGATTGCTTTTCAATTATGATGAACATGTGTAACTACGTTTCTTTTTAGCTAGAGGTGAATTCG